TCTCGGCCTGTAGAGAACTATGAAGCCTTCAACTTGGCTGCCCTCGACGCCCTTGTGACCACTTCGTGCCCATAAATACAAATGCATGCAGTAGCTTTGTCAGTTGGACCCAGTGTAGTCTCTGGGTCGCCGAGGGATGACTGACTGACTTGACGATTGAACTGTAGATAGCTTGACGATTGAGCTGTACATAGCTTTGTTTTGTGAGAGAGAGTGCCTGTCATGGGACTGTGCTTTTGGTCAACGAACGGTTGTCGATAACTTGAGCGAAGAATGGAGACTCGATGGTGTGTGTGTGTTGCCTCGATGGGCACAGCCCAGGCCAACATGACGTGTGACTGAAGAAATTAATCAATGGGAGTCCAACCAATATCGCATGCAGGCAACACACACACACATGCATTCAGAGGAGGGAGTCAGGCGTGCATGCGTATGCATATCCGCCGTTCGAACACGAATATTGAGTTCGGCAAAAAAGTGCAAAGTGAGGCTAGGCTGCCCCGAGACAGAGACCCGTTCGCACTGAGAGTGAGGAAAGCAATGCGAAAGGACAGGTGCAGGCAGCCCAAATGGTCGTGTGTATCATCCTGCCTGACAGAGGCGTATCGCATCGTCTGCAGGACCCACCTCTCTCGATTGGTCGTGTCCGCCTTCTGTGTGCCTGGCCTGGCTGGCTGGTTGTGTGATGTCTGTCCTTCCTGGAGGAACTCGGGTGGGAATATAAGATGAGATGTGTAGAGAAAGGGACAAACAATCCGTCCGTGAGACACGCAGTGACGCACACGAAGGGGCGACAGCAAGAAACGAACCCCTCATCAGGGCGCAAAAATCCCATCGAAAGAAAGACCCATATGCGGGGCGCGTCCTTGAAACCAATATGACGCGCCCTCTGGCTCGCTCAGGAAAGATATATAGAGAAAGTGCCACACAACCCCGTGTACAAATACGACCCTCCCTCTTCGCGCAGACACACAGACAGACACACAGACACGCAGACAGATATATAGATATACAGGCAGCCTCAGGCAGGCAGGCACTCACTAAAATTTCGCCCATTCTCATGTTGTCTGTTTGTTTTTCGCGCGTGCGATGTCAGTAGACGAATGGACGGCACGCACGTGTATTGAGGGGGCGGGGGGAGGGGAGGGGCAGCGTGGGGTGAAGATGGGTGTCGTTCAAGGGAGTTCGCTCACTGCTCAATCAAAAGATGATGAGAGATAGTAGCTGAGGTCAGTTAAGTGCCATGATCCATGCATTTCTAATGCATGCATTCATCCGTCCGTCTGTCTATCCATCCGTGTACACATCACATCCTCCCTCCCTCCCTCCAATCCACATGTGTATAGGTTACACACACATACGGCCGGCCACCCCCCACCCCATCCACCCACTTCGCGTATGCATTACGGGCGTACTGACTGAGGAGATAGAAAAACAGCCAATGACAGACACGGGAGGGAGGGGGACCGACGGACAGCAAAAACGCGACCCTCCACATAACAGATCCGTACGTGTGCGCAAAATACATACGAGCATGGTGCTACATACGATCTCTCTCTCTCTCTCTCTGGATGCAGGCACATCACATGTCCATGCGATATAGACGGCGGCCGAGCACGCACGTGGCCGATCCAGCCCTCGGAGCTGGTGAGCCGAGGCGCGCGAGCTCACTTTCATTCATTCTCACGCTGAATGAATGCAGAGCACGCAACGAGGAAGAAATGATCACATGCATACCAACGTGCGTGCACAAGCAAGACATACACACATACATACATGGACAGCCACGCACGCAGGCAGGCAGGCATGAAAGCGGGAAGGGCATGCACCAGCCAGCCAGTCAGCCAGTCATCCAACCAGACATACAGACGGTAAGCATCCATCCAGCCAACATCCATCCATACCATGCACCCACCCACCCGAGCAAGAATGACCATGTCATGACCATCAATCACCATACATACAGACGAGACAAAACTCCCCTTGATTGCTCCTTTCTCTCTTTCCCGCCCGGAGTGAGCATGGCATGCACCTCTCCTTTCTACGCAGCCTCTGTCGGCTGTGTCTGCTGCTGCTGCTGCTGCTGCCTGTTGGTGGCCGACTTGAGCATGCCGAACACTAGACGAAGCGAGCAGCCACTAGACCACTCACAACGTTACAAATGCAGCCCTGCACGTTTGAAAGGACTGCCTGTCTGTCTGGGCTGGCCACTAGCGACAGCATGATTGAGACCACAACACACTGATTGAGGCCACAGCACACATACACCATGAGAAACTCGAGAACACACAGCCACCGGGAACACAGACAACACACTCCGGCACGCAACAGACACATCCGCAAAGCCAGAAGAGCCGTTCGTCTGAGTGTAGGACTTGTTGATCTTGTTTTGAAGAAAAAGCCGACACGGCCGTCGTACTAGTACACACACGAACAACACGAACAGTACGCAAGCAACCCAGCGCCTCAGATAGAACTGCCGCATCATGGTTGCGGCAGCGAGGCGAAAAATACACTTGGGGGGGAACTTCACAGGACACCCACCACATAAGGCAGCCACCATATGACCATGGAACACGAGGAAAATACAAATAACCCACTCCCGGGGACGCACGCAGACACGTTAGCTATAAATTCGCACATTCGAATAAGTTGTTGGCCCTTTTCCTCCACGAGTTCCTCCACCTTCTTCATCCACTCATGTCGGCGAGGCAGGCCGACTAGTTGCTGCGGGACCGACTGTAGCCGTTGCACTTGCGGTGTGCCACGGTGGTGCAATCTTTCTGGTTGCGGCTGAAGTCTATCTGGATGGTCGTGTGCAAGATCTTGAAATGATCCTAGCAAGACACGCACACACAAGCAAGTGCTGGGTGGTCCCTACCGACGTGCTCTGGTCTCTCTGCTCACGCACCTGGCATATCCTGGTGGCCGTTTTGGTAATGCGTATGCGTCTCGCCATGTCCTCCTGCTCGGCCACAATGTGCACCGAGAGGACGGGCTTGCCCACCGACAGCGACCACACGTGGAGATCGTGCAACTCGACCACGCCTAAGAAATCAGCACACACAGACCGTTGCATGCAGCACACGGGCAAGAAGGACGCTGGCTCGCTGCGAGGTGGGTTTCTGACCAGGAATGAGTGTGAGGTCATCTTGGAGGTGTTCGAGATCGACGTTCCGAGGGGTGCCCTCCATCAGGATGCTCACGGCGTCGCGCAGGATGCTGACGGTGCTCCACAGCACGAAGAAGGAGAAGATGAATGTGCAGATGGGGTCAGCAATCAGCCAGTCGGGGTTGATCCAGATGCACGTCCCAGCTGTCACCACACCCACACTCTGACCGATCACACAGTCGCACAAACGCCACGCTTCGATGACATATTGTTTCGACTATCCATCCCCAGTGGCAGGCAGGCACCTGGAGGAGGTCCCCCAGCGCATGCAAGTACGCGGCCCGTAGGTTCATGCTGCCCTCCTCAGCCGGGACATCCGCCGACTGCTTTGCCTTGGTCCTGCTGCACTCATACGGCAGCGGCGCCGGGGGCTCCTCAGCATCATGTGCATGCACGTCTATCGCGTGGTGATGCTCGTGCTCGTGTTGGTGGTGATGGTGATGGTGGTGGTCATGGTGGGCGCAAGGGCCACATCCGAGCGTCTGTGCATGGTCCTGGGCATTGTGCTCATAGTGGGCATGGGTATTGTGGGCAGGCTGAGAGTGGTGGGCGTCCTCATGGCCGTGGCAATGGCCGCAATCGCCGCCTAAGCCGTGATTGTGCACCTGCGACACACACAGGGAGACAGAGGGAGAGAGAGAGATGGGTCCAGAAATCAGTCACGCATACAAGCGCTCGTCTGTGGCCACCTTGAGTATTTGGGTCATCACGACGTTCGCACCCAGGCCGACGATAGCCACAATAGTCATGATTGCACCATCCTTTCCACCACATAAAAGACATCCATCGCATTCCTGGCGATCGTCTACTTGGGTCCTTACGCACCACAGGTTCTGGAGCGATGACCTTCTGGACAGCCTCATACACCAGCCCTATTGTGAGTCCCCAGATGAGCATCACAGATGTCAATGCTCCTAGAATCTCCATCCGATGATATCCGAACTTCGTGCATACAGCGCACAGACAGATTGACAGGACACCACTCAATGCGCGTATGTATGGCATACGGGCAGTATTCATAGGTGAGGCACTCACCGAGAGTGTGCTGCCCCCGCTCTTCGAAGCGACCCAAATCGCAAAGAGCCTTCATAGATAAACCCACCCACCCGTTGTGCACGTCGGACTCTCTCTACGTCCCACCCCTGTGTACACGCCGACTCACCCGATTGCGTTCGCGATCAAGTCGGTCAGCCTTCATCAGAAAGCATACAAACCAGAGAGATGGCCTGCGGTCGTGGCATCGTCTCCCTTTCTCCCCGTCTCTTTCTCTGTCTGTGTGCACATCCACTCTGCATACATGTGCGTGGCGTCCGTCATGAGAGCTATGGAAGACGCGAGGTAACCCCCAACCACCTCCGCAACCATGAACACCACCTGCAGTCATAGATCATCAGATCATCAGATCAACACAAGCACAGGGACACGTATACCATGATGCATGCGTTGTCATGATGCATGTAGCCCCTACGCAGACGACGGACGCCCAGATGAGTTTCGTCTTGACAGTGGCCTGGTTGGCGTGGTAGGCAGCCTAGTGAGCTCGAAGAAAACGCGGCGTCAGCGAGACGCTGCCGCGAGGCGTGGATCCAGACCTGGGAGAGAACCAGAGAGCTCCGCTGTTGAAGGGAGAATGCCACTTGGGAGACTGAACTTCATTGCGGGCCATGATATGCATCTTCCGAAAACCAACACAGTAACGGATGGATGCCAGGCGCTCGTGCGCAAGCCACAAGCGCCCTGCAGAGCTTTTTTCCGTTAGAGCAGCTTGACGTACAAGCTCTTGTGACCCCAAAGCCTGGCCTGCTGCACCCCACAGTATGGCTGCGGTACAAGATCCCGCGTCGTTCATCTGTTGATGAATCTGTGTCGAATTGGCTAGTTCATCCACCCATGATGAAGCTGCTCTGTCCTTCCCCTCTGCTATTCGCCCTCATCGCATCAGTGCCTTTCGCAGATCCCTTCTCGCCGCCGTGCAGCCCTTGCTCCCCTCCCTTTCATCGCCGGAGATCTGTGCAGATGAGTGTCATTGATCGGCAGGCGGCTTACGGAAGGAGCCTGCGTCCCAAGCGGCACCACGTGACCATCAAGGAGACCATCGATGACTACAAGAAGCTGGAGAAGGTCGCCACTGCGGCGCACATGATATCAACAGCCAGGTGATGTGCACAATGGCTGCACCGGCATGCCCCCCACAATGCATGGGGTTTCTCTCGTGTACGCGTCGTGCAGGGTCCAGCGTGCTGCCGCGATATGGAATCGCTTCAAGACCTTCTATCAAGGCATCACTTGGGTGAGCGAGGATTTGAAACAGCCGATGCCACGAAGCTCGAGGTGTGCAATTGTATGTGTGTCAGATGACTCGAGCACTGCTGCCCCACGTGCTTCGGGTACAACAGTGGGAGGACGCGAGAGATATGACCCGGAAGGAACGAGAGGAGGCAAGAGCACCGAGAGAGGTGGGTGGCCATGCGCTGAGCACTGTGCGTCTATAACGGATTGGCACCTCTTCGTCGTTTCAGGTTGGTCGTCTGTATCGCCTTCTGCGTGAACACCCGCAGAAGCGATCTGCCGTGCTCCTGCTCGTCGGAAGTGACTCTGGTAGACGTCCATGGCGTTCGATTCGCACCTACATCGCCATCAACTGTCGCATCTGCAGGCAAGTGTGGTGGTTTGAACGAAGCAGTGCTGCTGCGCGCCAAGAAGCGAGTCATTCAGCTGGCGAAAGAGGTCAGGCGGGCAATAAAATAAACGAAAGCGTACATTCGTCTGAGTGTCCCTGTGTTGCATTTTGCAGGGTGTGGAAGTGCTTAGTTTCATCGTCGTGGGCCACCGTCTGTTTGAGCAGCTGAAGGACGCAGACGCAGGCCGTCTCATAATCCAGCAGTACCCGAGTGGGCGGCAACCCGATGGAAGCCTTGCTAAGAACATCACACGACAGATGGTCAACTGGTACACAGGTGAGACCAATGGATGTGCAGAGCTTGCCATGACACGGTACTGCTTTCTGTCTTGGCTTGCGCAGAGGATTCGCCCAGGATCGATGCGGCGGAGGCCATCTTTTGTCGGTTGAAAGCTGATGGCTACCGAGAGGTGGCTCTCACCCCCCTGCTGCCCGTGTCCATCCCGCTGTACGACTCAGACGCATTCAAACTTACGACAGATCACGGCAGGTCGGCAACAAACAAATGCCTACCGAACAACACACAAACAACAAACACTCGTTAGTAAAATGCTCTACTTGTGCCGTGTGGCGTGTATGCAGGGTGAAAGTGATGAACAGCCCTCTCGCGTCCACCGCGCCAGGGGTGTACGACATCTCCAAATACTCCTTCTACCTGCAGGACGAGGAGAGCGTCTTCCGCAACCTGGTCCCTACCTTCCTCTTCGCACAGCTGCTGAGGGCGATGGTGGACTCGTGCGGTGCTGAGGCAGCCGCAAGGATGTCGTCACACGACAAGCGAGCACGTGAGGAACAGACAGCGGTGCACGCCAGCAATGCCTCTTGTGTACCTGCCTGTGTTTTCCTGCCATCAGAGGCGATTCAGGGTATGATTGGCGATCTCGAGAAGGAGTACATCAAGGCCAAGCAGGCGTTCATCACGCGTCAGGTGGTCGAGCAGTCGAATGCAGCTATCAACGTGGAGGACAGGTGGCGACCGGGCGAGCCTCTGGAACACTCACTGCAGCGTCTCTACGTGCAAGAGCTTCAGCGGACATCCTCCCCCTCCCCCATTCCATCCCCACTCAACGCGACCCTCTCCACCGCTCTATCCGACACGCAGGCGACTGAGTTCACGTCGGCTATACGCGATCTCGGCAGCGGAGAGAAGCTCTGGCAGACGATCTTCGACGAAAGTGAAGACAGGGGCAGCGACAGGGAAGAGCGCACTCCTGACTGGGTATCGTCTCTTGGTGGCTTCTCGTCGGACGAGTTCAACGAAGATGAGCGCGCTGACGAGGCGGCTTCGTTTGCACCAGACGAGGAGTTGACCGACTCATCATTACTGACGAGACTAGAGATTATGGGGGGTGACAATGAGGACTTGTTTCCGGCTCTGAGGCACCCACGGCAAGACGAAAGGCTAGAGTCTCTGCTTAAACGAGAAGTTAATGAGTCGTCGGCTGAGAGGGTGGATGAAGTGGCGAGGGGGGATGACAGCAATGAAGGCGACCTCGACCTATGGATGTTGAATCCGTCAAGGCAAGAAGCAGAGGAGGCTCTGACAACGAAGACAGGGGAGGCCCCATCAGGGGAAGGGGAGGGAAAGAGAGTCATGGTCGATCACATGGGCGTTGTCTTGCCGTCGCCACCAAAGGGACGTCTGGCGGCGACGAAGAGGCAAAGAAGGTCTCCAACGGCGCGCCAGTCGCATCGAAATGTGACGTCTGCGGTTGCGAGTGTAGACAGGCGGAGCAAGAAAAAGGCTGAAGGACAGGCAGACGTGCTGGACCTCAGGTTAGGGAGCAAGGATCAGAGGATTGGTCACGATTCGGATGGGAAGCACGTATCGAGGCAGCACAGGGAGCCACAGACACATTAGACGGCGCATGGAAGGGTGTTGAGCCGTTTTCGCATTTAAGCCAGGCTGCATATCATGCGCTTCAACTTAACGAATGAATCAAGTGACAATGGGCTTAGCTATGAGGCGTGCCCCCAATGATTGAGTCGGTTATTTCTCGGCTGTTTCTCCTCCTTTTCGGATGAGGGAGCGTGTATCGGACTACACCCAACCCCCCCCAGTGACCCTCATCCCGCGAGACGGCGGCGGGCC